TGTTGGGCGAATTGAGTGTGGAGGCTCGACCAGGAAGGGCAGCCGGCCCTAGTCTTGGTTCGACCCATATGGCAGTAAATTAGGTTTTTAATTTAGCCGGCCCTAATTCTCTATGTGGGCTTGGGCCTAACTTGGGGATTAAGTTTTCAACCCTAGTTTAGTCTTCATAAATAGGGATCTCTGTACTTGTAATTCTGTGAGCACCTGGATAATAAAAACCCTAGTTGCAAAATGGATTAGGTCAGCCGACCGAACCACTATAAATCTTGTGTTCCGTTTTCTCCGTTTTGATTTCTGTTTTGTGTGTGTTCTTGTTTGGTTGTGGTTTGCTATTAAGTATTCATAGATACCCCAACAACTGGTATCGGAGCCATAGGTTCGTGATCGTTGAATTCTTCCCTCGGGTTCGTGGAGATCAGGTTCAAATCAAAGATTAGGGTTTCGAAGGGTTTGAAGATCAGTTCCGCCACCGTCATAGTTTCCGCTGCAGAACACGCCTTGTACTGTCTTGTGAACAGTAACCGCGCCGCCGTTGTGAACAGCCGCTACTGCTAGGGTTTTGTTTAGCCGCCGCTGCTAGGGTTCCGAATAGCCGCTGCCAAGGTTAGTTCGTTATTAGTTTTTTCAATCTCAGATCAGTTTTTCAGCCGTGTATGGAAACAATGGCAGATGAAAAGATAAAGATTGAAAAGATTGATGGAAGTGATTTTGGGTTTTGGAAGATGCAAATCAAGGATGTTCTTTATCAGAAAGACTTATACCAAACGTTATCGGGAGAAAAGCCAAAAAAGATGAGTGATGCAGATTGGGCGATTTTGGACAGGAAAGCTTTAGGAGTGGTTAGGTTGTCATTGGCGAAGAGTGTTGCTTACAACATAGTCAATGAAACGACTACGCATGGGTTAATGAAAGCTTTGTCGAATATGTACGAGAAACCCTCAGCATTGAACAAGGTGTTTTTGATCAGACAGTTGGTTAACACCAGAATGAGGGAGGGTGCTTCAGTTACCATTCACATCAACCAGTTTAATTCGGTCATAACTCGGTTAGGATCAATTGGAATTAAGTTTGATGATGAACTTCAGGCATTGCTGCTTTTATCTTCTTTGCCTGACAGTTGGTCTGGAACAGTGACTGTAGTTGGTAGTGCATCTGGTACTACTAAGTTTACTTTTGAAGGAATTCGGGACTTGATTCTAGGTGATCGAAGACATCAGACGCAGAAGTTCAGGGGATTCTTCGAGTGCACTGTTGAGTACTGAAGGCAGAGGAAGAAGGAATGAAAGAGTAAGCAACCATGGTAGAGGCAAGAGTCAGTCCAAGCATCGGGAAGGAATTGTCTGTTGGGATTGCAAACAGACGGGACATTTTAGAAGTCAGTGTCCGAATGGTAAAAAGGAAGTGAATACTACAGAAAGCTGCTCAGACAATAGTGATGATGTGCTAATCTGTAGCGTAGAGAGTAGTATAGATTCCTGGGTGATGGATTCTGGTACATCTGTTCATGCCACACACAGCATGAAGATGATGAAGAATTTGAAGATTGGGGACTTTGGTAAGGTACGACTTGGTAACGATGAAATTCTGGATGTTACGGGCATGGGGGATATTGACTTGAAAACTTCAGTTGGAGCCACTTGGACTTTGAAAAACGTCAGAGTCATTCCAAGCTTGAAGAGGATGCTTATCTCAGTTGGGCAGTTGGATGATTCGGGTCTTGATGTTAAATTTGGTGGTGGACAGTGGAAGGTGGTAGGGCTGGGTTGGGAAAACCGAAAACCGCAAACCGAACCGAAATCGATCGAAACGAGCTAGAAAAAAAACCGAACCGAAAACACCGAAACCGAATGTAAAAAAACCGAACCGAACTGTTAGTGTTTTGTTCCGTTTTGGTTTTCACTTTGCAAAACCGAACCGAACTGAATAAACCAAACTTTCTTAGATACTTCGTTTTATTTATATGAATATATGTGATATATAGAAAAATAATAGAAATATAAATACAAATAAATTACTAGTCGATTAAAATTATTTTCTTAACTATTAATTACATTCTAGCCATATTATTATAAACTTTAAAAAAACTTAAGAATATGAACACCAATAGCTAATTCTAATATATAATTATATTAACATTAAAAGTTGATACGAGTAATTTGCATATTTACATAAAAAATACTTTGATGTTATAATGAAAATGAAAGTATTATACCAAAAGATATAAATTGTTCGTAATTGATTTTACATACGATGTCTTTGGAAGTAATTAGAATCTTCTAAATCTTTGTTGGGCACTCAATACATATTTTTTTTATGTAATATTGAACCGAAAGGAACAATAACCTTCCGTTCGGTTTTTTGTTTGTGTAAAAATCAAACAAAAAAACCAAAGCTAACACTACATATTGTTATTGTTTCATCGAGTTAGTGTTTTTACATTTTTTAATGCTTATAAATTTCTACATTTATAAACCGAAAAAACCAAAAAAACCGAAATAAAAACCGTACAAAACCGAACCGAATAACCAACGGTTTACATATTTTTTAGGCAAAACCAAACCAAACCGAACCACTAATTTACCTTCCGTTTTGTCTTTGGTTTTGGGTGAAAACCGAACTGCCAAAACCGAACCCACCCCTAGAAGGTGGTCAAAGGAAATCTTGTTGTTGCTCGTGGCAAGAAAAGGGGCTCGTTATATATGATCGAGATACCTCCAAAAGGAGCAAGTCCAGTTTTTGTAAAAGAAAAGGTCCGGTTCAAAGAATCTCGTGTGCTAAAGAGGGTTACCTTTGCAAAGGAGAAACTCAGAGAAAGAGTATAGATTCAGGATGAACTAGCACGGAAGGTTCAACCAGTCAGGGAATTTTGTGACAGTGGGAGCACAGGTCGTGCTTCAGTCCCAATTCGACAGTGTGTTGGGAAAACTAGTATTCCGGCGTTGAATGTTTCTTCTGTTAACAATTTGCTTGGTTTGGAGAATGTAGGTTCTCAGTTTGTCTTAGAAGCCAGGAGAGTGATAGATGTGTCACACTCGGAGCTAGCAGAGAAAGAGAACGAGTCACGGGTTGTGACTGATGAGTGGGAGCTTCAACGGGCCTTCAGATAACTGAAGAGAAGGCCGCTACCACTAGTGGAAAATGAGGATTACAAGAGTTACAGATGATGAAGACTAAGGGGCGTTGTTCGAGCCTCCAAGTGGGAGATTGTTGGGCGAATTGAGTGTGGAGGCTCGACCAGGAAGGGCAGCCGGCCCTAGTCTTTGTTCGACCCATATGGCAGTAAATTAGGTTTTTAATTTAGCCGGCCCTAATTCTCTATGTGGGCTTGGGCCTAACTTGGGGATTAAGTTTTCAACCCTAGTTTAGTCTTCATAAATAGGGATCTCTGTACTTGTAATTCTTTGAGCACCTGGATAATAAAAACCCTAGTTGCAAAGTGGATTAGGTCAGCCGACCGAACCACTATAAATCTTGTGTTCCGTTTTCTCCGTTTTGATTTCTGTTTTGTGTGTGTTCTTGTTTGGTTGTGGTTTGCTATTCAGTATTCATAGATACCCCAACACTTGGATGACTTCATATCCTATTACGGTTTGCCTCTTCCTCCCCCAAACTCTCGTGCCAATTCGGGGCCTTGATTTTCTTTTTATCCAACAGTTGTTGTATTTTTACTTTGTAACATTTTATTTGTAGCAACTTGGTAACGCTTGTAGCATTTTTTCCTTTGCCAATATCTCTTTTGTACTTACATCCCCGTAGACTCCTTTCTTTGGGCTAACTGTTCTCCTTTTGGGATTTTTATCTTGCTTTGGGACTTAGGAAAATTTTTACCTGCTTTAAGACTTGGGCTTAAACCACATTTGTAAGGCGCTCTCTCCTGCCGCGCTAAGTGAATGGCCCACCTTAATTATGCCGGGCCCAATTCACCTTAGCCCAATGATGAAACGGCGCAACCCTAGCTTTCCTCGGGAATCCGCAACTATTTCCCAATCGGATAAGCACTTTGACTCCATGTCCCTTGCACTCCCTTTTGACGTCGCTCGCCTATTTAAGAAACTAGGCAGAACACTTTCATTATCACAACCACTTCTCAACATGGCTAATAATGCCAACAGAGTTGTCTTCATTGACCTGACTATCTCTGATTCTTCTTCTGATTCCTCCTCCGTGGCATTTCCCTCGTTTGGAGCCCCAACACCTGAATTCCCTTCTGGGCCTTCCTCCGCTTCCGAACAATCGGTGACTTCTCCCCTGTCCCCGGGGGAGAACCCTCCCCGTCTCCCCCAGCGAACATCATGGGGAATTCTCCCGAGTTCTGGCGTGCTTCATGACGGTACCAGCACGGGAGCCTCCTCTGGCCGCCCCGGTACATCCCGCTCCCAGAAGAGACGCAATCCTCACTCAGAAGCTACCCGGTTGGTCTCCGGTGCGAGGCCTTCCTCCCAAGGTTCTCCCTCTCCTCAGCAGTCATATGGACAGAGCCCTGAGGAGTGGGGGGATTATGACATGGGGGAAATAGGCGTCTGTCTACTCGGAGGGAAAAGGACGGAACCTTCCAGGGTCTGCCTCCCCCTTTGGCGTAGGCGGAATGATGTCGTAACTCCTTTTCTTTTGAAGGATGCATCAGGAGGATGATGGGCTCTCTCCACACCTTCCCGCTCCGGCGTTCTTTCTGGTCCAGGCGGGGCAGCAAGAGTCAGCGGATTCGTTCCCCTTGCCACACTGTTCCTCCTGGATCCTTGAAGTGCCGTTTCACCTTCATATTTTTTCAGTAGTAGGATAGAAGTAGATCAGGGACAAAATTCATTGTTGTAACCCAAAAAAATGTAATTTTCTATTTGAGTTACTTAATGAAAACTTTTATCTCCCGTCTTTTAGCATCTTACTGTTAGATCAGGGATAAGGTTCATTGTTGTAACCTAAAAGAATGTAATTCTCTTTATGAGTTATCTAATGAAAACCTTTTTCTCCTGCCATTTATTATAATTATACCTTGTGTGTCGTCGCCCGCATGAAGTAGAAGTCTATATTTGTTTGACTCTCTCCATTCAAGGACGACGTTCTTCCCCCGAGTACAGATGGGCCCACCTGAACTGGCCCATGCACTTAAATGGCAGAGCCCCAGTCAAACCTTGGGAATCTTTTAACCACTTCATCTGCCAATCACCAAGTCTTCCGCATCTTTTAACCATATTCATTGCTTCCCAATGATCCCTTCCCCTTTTCTATAGATGGGGAAAGATGGTTTTTTGCTGGCTCATTGCCTTCTGCTCCCTTCAGTATGACAGACAGAGCCCAGGGTAAGGTTTTCATTGACCTGACCCTTTCCGGAACTTCTTCATCTTCAGATGACAATCTTCCTGTCTCTCCCGCTCAGGCCAATGACATGGCTGGGCTAAGTCCTGACGAATTCTCAAGACTCTATCCGACACCCCGTCTTCCTGCGCCTTCACCTCCTAGCCACCCAGGCTTCCGTCCGGGAGGGTAGATTGGGACTCTATGACCCTCCAAGACTTCGCCTTGTACCAGAGGATGCACAAGGCTAGACTTGGGCGTTCTTTTCAGCCCGCAGAGGCAGAACTTTCGCGTGAAAGCTGGATAGCTTCTCCAACCCTGCCAAGGTCTCCCAGTGACAGTTCACAATCTGCACCACCTGCGTCCCGACCTGGAACGTGGGAAGACTATGACATGGGCGAGGCTGATGATTCCGCCGTGTGTCCTTCGTCAGAGAGAAGGAGCCCATGGAGAGGGCCCCCACCTCCTTCCAGTTGACTGCATGGGTGCAATTGGCCCTCCTTTAGTGCCTAGCCCCCTGCAGATGAGTTTACTTTTTCTTGTTTTATCTCAAGAGGCATTCACTTGTTTGGTCCGGGGGTTTCCCGCATCCTAAGCCAATGAATGTCTTTTGATCCCAAATCAGGAATAGTCGTTGATTACAAAGATATAACCTTCGAATTAGCAATCGATGAACTTCCTTATTTTCTTTGTTTCGTTCATCTCATTGGGAACCATTATTGTGAACCAAAGATATAGCCTTTGGCCCTTCAATATAGCCCTTTTCGTTTATTTCTTTTCACATCATCAAAAGCAAGTACAAATGCTCTTACCTCGTATAAAATCTCATCTCCCAGGGTTTGGGTATGTCGTGGGGGCTTACTTCATCTGCCCCTAGACCTCCATTTCTCTGGGTTAAGGCATAATCTTCTCTACCTTGGATCAGTTGAGCGCCAACCCCCGAAGTTTGTTTGCTCGGTTGACCCATGCTGGCGGAATACTAAGCTCCAGCCCTCGAAGTCTGCTTGCTGTTCTTCCTGAATTCCGGGTTGTAAAGGCCCTCGAAGTCCGATCCCAACCCTTCCTTCAAATTTCACGGAGGCATAAACTTATCTACCTCCGGGGGGCATAAACTTATCTACCTCCCCTATATTTAGCAGGTGGCATAAACTTTTCTACCTCCCTGTAATGTGGGTCTATCTCGCCCAGGGGTGTTCTCCCCCCCCCCCCTATTTTTTTTATGTACAGAACAATGGAATTGCAAAGACACTTGGCTTTAAAGGAAAGAAGTTCTTTATTATTGAAACAAAATGAGAATGCCTTAAACAGAAGGTAAAGTGCTTTACAAAACAATTTTACTGATAAAATTTTACCAAGTGCTCTACATTCCACGTCCTATCTATTTCTTTTCCCTTTGGAGTCATCAACTTGTAGGTACCTGGGCGAACAACGGCCTTGACGATATAAGGTCCTTCATACTTTTTGGCCAACTTTCCGCCCTTAGTTGGTTGACTCTTTTCTCGCTTCCTTAGGACGTAATCCCCCACCTGGAACGCCCTCAGTTTCACCTTACTGTCAAAGTAAGATTTCACCTGGCGACGGTAATTCTCTACCCGGATTCATGCTTCATCTCTTCTTTCCTCTAAGATATTATGCTCAATGGCCTTATTCTGTTCGTTCACTTCCGGGTCATATGTCATTTCCCTCCTGGTTGGGATTACTATTTCAGCTGGTGCCCGGGCTTCAAACCCATAGCCCAAGCCAAAAGGAGTATCACCCGTGGCCCTTCTTGGAGTGGTCTTGTATGTCCATAGGACTCAGGGTAGTTCATCCACCCACTTGCTTCCTTCCAACAACAACTTCTTTTTTATCCCAGTTATAATCGTCCTGTTGACGTTCTCCACCTGACCATTAGCCTGGGGATAGGCTACGGATACCTTCGTATGCTGAATTCCCCAGGTTTTGAGGAAGTCTTGGAATTCCGCTTCTTCAAACTGAGTTCCATTGTCGGATATGATCTGCTTCGGGACCCCAAACCTGCAAAGTATATTGGTTCCCACGAAATCGATCATCTGCTTCCCTGTGATCCCAGCAAGCGGCTCAGCCTCGACCCATTTGGTAAAATAATCTATGCCACCACTATCCATCTTGCCTGTCCAATTCCTTTCGGCAGGGCACCCACGATATCGATCCCCCACCTGGAGAAAGGAATTACCGAACTAATGGGCGTGTAATTCATGGCTTGCCTCCCGGGTATGTTCTGAAACTGTTGACAAGTTGGACACTTGCGGACATACTCCTCACAATCCTTCCTCACTGTTGGCCAGAAATATCCTTGGATTATTGCCCTTCTGGAGATAGAGTATGGGCCCTGATGTTCCGCACATACTCCTTCATGTATCTCTTCCATAAGTGCTTTTGCCTCTGCCACCCTAAGACAGTGGAGTAAAACACCATTGTAAGACCGCTTATAAAGGATTCCATCCTGCACTTTGTAGGTGGGTGCTCTCATTCGCAGCAGCCGGGCTTCTTGGGGATCTTCCGGGGCTACCCCGTCCTCAATGTATCTAGCCAACCTGTCTAACCACTCCGGGGGGTCGGCTAATACCCAGAGCACCTCGTCCCTGTTGAGACTCGGGGTTGCTAACTCCTCCACAGTTGCTAACTTGCTTATATATTCTCGCGATTCAGCGCCAAGCTTGGACAAAACATCCGCTTCCGCGTTGTACGCTCTGGGTATGTGCTCTAGCTTATACTCAAATCTCCCCAACATTTCCAAGGGCAAGTCTCGATATTTCTTCATCCTCTCTTCCTTTGCTTCGAATTCCCCACTGATTTGTCCCACAACCAAGCGGGAGTCGCTGTATACCTGAACCCTAGATAACCCCAGCTTGCCGAGAATCTTCAGTCCATTAATTAGGGCCTCATATTCAGCTTCATTGTTGGATACGCGGAACTGAAATCTGATAGCGTAATATATCCGGAAACCTTCTAGAGTGATCAAGACAATACCTGCTCCACATGATCGGGACCCAGAAGATCCATCAATGCTCATTACCCACTAGTCATCTTCTACCCGGGTTTCAACCCGGGCTCTTGTCATCTCCCTGGCAGAACACTCAACCTGAAAGTCGGCGAGTGCTTGCCCTTTGATTGATGGACGCAGCCTGAACTCCACATTGTACTGACTGATGAAGACCGCCCACTTGGTCATTCGGGCGGATGTCGCTGGGCTTCGAGTAAGCGATGCCAAGGGCTCATTAGTGAGTACCACGATCCGGAGAGATTGAAAGTACGGGGTTAATATCTTCGCCGTCCAGAAGACTCCTAACATAGATTTTTCTGGGCGGGAATACCCTAACTCCACATCTCTTAAGGTCTTACTGACATAGTAGACCGGATGCTGGGCCCCGTTCTCTTCTCTTACAATCATAGTACTGATGGCGCAGTCTGCAATTGCTAAGTATAACGTCAGGATGTCCCCGGGTTCTGGCTTGGATAAAACCAGAGGACTTGCCAGATACTTCTTCAATTCTTCGAATGACACTTGACATTCTTGCGTCCACTCAAAGGTCGCCTTCTTCTTGATTACAGATTACAGTAAAGAACGGGTGCGCCTTCTCTGCCAACTTCGAAAGGAAACGATTCAAGGCCGCCAATCTACCAGTCAACCGTTGGACCTCTTTCGCTGTCTTCGGTGGTTCCATCTCCATGATGGCCCTTACCTTTTCCGGGTTAGCCTCAATCCCTCTCCGGCTAACCATGTGCCCCAGGAATTTTCCACCTTGAACACCAAAAGTACACTTCTTCGGGTTCAATCTTAAATTTACCTTCATCATGATTTCAAAGACCTCCTCAAGGTCCCGGACATGATCTCGGGCCTCCTTGGACTTGATAATCATGTCATCAACATAAGCTTCCATGGTTCGCCCCAAGACGGCTTTAAACACCTGAGAAACCATTCGGGTGTATGTCGCCCCAGAATTTCTCAGTCCGAATGCCATCACCAAATAACAGTACAAGCCCTCAGGAGTCATGAAACTTGTCTTTTCAACGTTAGCCGGGTGCATTCGAATCTGATGATAGCCACTGAAGGCGTCCATAAAACTCATTAACTCTAATCCGGTAGTCTCATCCACCATCTGGTCAATATTGGGGAGAGGGAACGGATCCATCGGACATGCTTTGTTCAAATCCGTGTAGTCAACGCACATTCTCCATGAAGGAGGCTTAGGCGCCAAGACTACATTCGCCAACCAATCCGGGTAATGCACCTCCCGGATGTGTCCAATGCTCTACAAGGTTGTCACCTCCTTCTTCACGAAATCCCTCCTCTCTTGCGACAGATGCCTCCGCTTCTGCTTCACCGGTTTAGCATCCTGCAAAACGTTGAGACGATGAGCTGCAATCTTGTGATCCAACCCCGGCATATCAGCTGGACTCCATGCAAAACCTTCCCGAATCTTCTAAGGACAGAGATTACTCGTGACCTGAGTTCAGCCCCCAGGCCCCTTCCAATTCTAACCAACCTTCCCGGCATACCTGGCTCCAGTTTCACTTCCTCTATGTCGCCTGCAACTTCAACTCTGGGACGTCTTTCTTCAGTTCTTAAGAACTGTGCGGTTACCTCTCCCACCTGGGTGTCGTATCTGATAGGTTGTTTAGTTGCCTTCAAATACCACGCCCGGGACACCCTTTGAGATCCCCTGGCGATTCCAATCCATGGGGGGTTGGGAACTTTATGCACAGGTGACGAGGTGAGATAACACACTCCAAATCTTCTAATCCGGGTCTTCCCAGAATGATATTAGTATTGGAGATTATTCCCACTACAACGAACTCCATGTCCAATTTCCGGGTGGCCTTAGTGTCTCCTACCTCGACCGGCAGGGTTATCACCCCCTCCGGTTCAATAGAGTCGCCTGTGAACCCGGTCAGAGGGGTCTTAATGGGTAATAACTCATCCCTCGCCAGACCTAGAGCCTTGTAAGTATCCATATACATGATGTTAACAGAATTTCCCGTATCCACCAAAGTCTTGTGGATCAGCAAGTCCATTATATCGATTGTAATTACCAAAGCGTCCCTATGGGGGACCCCCGTTTCTGGCAGATCAGCATTAGAAAATAGAATTGGTTCAGTTCTCAGCTTCTTACCTTCCGGTTGGGCATGGGCCGCCACCTTATTGACCATCGCGGCATTAGCCCACTTTTTCCGACTTGTGGCCGAATCTCCACCAATATTCCCACCAATGATATAATTACACCCATGATGCCTCTTCTGTCGGTGTGGCGCAGGTTCTGAATTTTCCTCTTCATCCTCGAGTCCAATGTGGCGTTTCTCCCAGGCCTCGGCCTGGGCCACCTGCCCTTCTCTCCGCTTTCTGTTATAAGCATTCCCGCCCCCATCTTGTACAAACTTCTTCAGAAGACCCCGGCGGATTAGCCTGGTCATCTCATTCATCAAGGTATAGTAGTCCTCTGTGTTGTGATCATTCTTGAGATGGTAAGCGCACCATTTCCCAGTGTCCTCCACATTGCAAACCTTCTGGGAATAGGTTGGATATGTCATCAGTCCCTGCTGTGCAGCATGGGCCATGACCTCAGCCACCAGTAATGTAAACACTGGATTAGCAGATTTATGCTTCTCCGAGGTCCCAGGGTTCGTGCCCTTCGGGCCATCTGGGAAGCCCTGCTTCTTGTTCTTGAAAGGCTTTTTGTTTCCCGCCTTTTCTTCTTCCTTAGGAGTCTTCTCTTTCTTCTCCTCCTTCCTCTCTTCCAAGGTCACATACCTTCCGGCCCGTACCATTGCTTCCTCAAAGGTATCCGGGGGATGGGTTGTGAGATCGGTATGAAGGAGACCATCCTGCAGTGCCGCCGTGAACATGGCTAACCTGGATTTATCGTCGGTTCCTTCAACCTCCCTGGATTCCTTTCTCCATCTAGCGAGGAAGTTCTTCAAGGACTCCCCGTGCTTCTGCCGCACTGAGGCCAAGTGGGTAAAATGCTTCTTGGGACGACAGTTCCCTGCAAAATGTTCTAGGAACCGCAATCCCAATTCATCCCAAGTCCGGATCGATCCGGCTGGGATGTGATTCACCCAGTCCGCAACCTTGCTATCAACCGTCTGCAAGAAACATTGGCACATCAACGCGTCACTGGCATCAACGGCGATCATCACCTAGACGTAGCTATTTATGTGTTCTTGGGGATCCGATTCCCCATCATAACGCTTGACAAACAGCATTTTGAATCCCTGAGGATAGGGTTCTACAAAGATCTCCGGGGCAAGCGGGGTATTCGTCCGGGTAGTGAACACTCGTCCCCTGTTTATCTTCCTCTGCATTTTCTGGATCTGTTGCCTCAGATCCTGGAACTTGCCAGCTTCCGGTACTTGCGGCCCCAGACGCTGTGGCGCTGGGACCCTGGCTTGGCTTTGAACGTCCTCCTCGTCCAAGACCACCAATGACCGCATTGGCGCTTGGCTCCCACCGCGGCCGGTTCGCTGCCGAGGCTCACGGTTAGAGGATGCCACTTGGCTGGTCTGGGGTCGTACCTAGCCCTGGGGTGCCTTGTCCGGATTCTTCCCCAGCCTCTCACTAACGTGAGCCCTCTGGTGAGATATCCTTTCAAAAACTGTGCCTCGTGGGTTTCCGTTGCCTATGACTTGATTCATGGCCCTGGTCCGATCTCCATTCGCCTTATTATTCCGGGCCATCTCCTCCGCCTGGCGCCTGGCGAGCCTGTCTCTCCCTCTCAACCTCCTCCGGATCATGAAGCTCCTGGAGGATGGGAGAACTGGCAGTACGCAGGACCTGTCGGGGCTGCCCAGTAGGGACATTCCGGGTACTAGATGGGCCAGGGAGAGCCTGATCTAAGCGTTCCATAATGTTGGCCATCATGCTAGCCACATTATTCAACGCCGTTTCCAGCCCATTGACTTGAACAATCATGCCTTGTTCAGGCTGGTCACTCCTCACCGTCGATTGGGCGGAAGCAGCGGTGTTACGTCTTGTCCTTCGTCCGGCCATAATCTCACAACTTCGTCTCACAGTATATCTCCAAAGAAAGCACCAATGATGGGATTAACCCGATCAGATGGAGGACAAAGAACGAAAATAAGAATCAAGAGAATATAATCTCGTAATAATATTTCTAATTGGGTATGTAATCAGAATGTTCTCTCTTTACAATGACGGGTTCTTTCCCCTTTTATAGTACTTCTAATTTCTTAATTAAAATTACACATAGTGGGAAGAATTATGGAGATCATGGGGTTGCGGTTCCCCTCCTTTCTGGTCTTGTTCTCTTCCCATTTCCCCCACAATTTGGGGTGTGGGCCACATGTCCAGTTCCTTCTCCGGACTAGATCATCTCAATTCAGTCTATAATTGGGCCGTCCGCCTCATTATTCATATGCGCCTTAGTGGGCCCGATCCGTTACACGCACCTGGACTTGTTCACTTTGCACGATTGTGGGCCTTTATTGGGCCTAGAGTCGGGTCCATCAGACCCGATATCCATCAATTATTTTCCCTGATTTGGAATTCCTCTTTTTTTGGCTACTCGACTTTACCTTTTCTTTCTTCTTTTATTTGTTTAGTTCTTGCCTTTGATTTGTAATTTCACATGTTTTTCCAATCCTTCATTATTTTCTGTTTATTTGTTATTTCACATGTAACTCATTTTTTACTATTGTAAAATATAATAACATCATAACGAGTGGTCAAAAACAAAACACCAAAAAAAGTACGGTATGAATAATGGACAATCAAAGAGGGTGATGTATTGTTAGAGTTCATTGTAGATGGAGTAATGCTAAAATCATAAACAAACAGTTCACAAAATTCACAAACTTGCCTTTTAATACTTTCTTAGAAATAAGGTGCACTCAAATAGTAAAAGATATTTTAATTTAAAATCTACAAAAGGAAAATTTGTGAAGTTTGTGAACTACGGAGTATATATTTGTGACTCTAGCATTTTCCTTATAGATGTTCTTGTTCGTGGATGACGTGATAATAGTAGTATTATTTCTAAGCAAACAGTAATATGGTAAAAATAATTCATTAATTATATATAATCTGCCAGAATTTTATAAAATTGTGCTGATAAAATACATTAAAATATATTTAATTCTGTGTTAACTTAAAATAATCTGTTGATTTTGTAGAATTCAAAGATTTTATACAATCTATCAAAATCTTATAAAATTTGTATTGAATACAACCTTCTTAATTTGAAAAGGTATCAAAATACATCCATTCGAATCAAACTCAAACAAATTAAATTCATTTTAATCAAATTCAATCAAATTAGAGACTTTCAAAAAATCAAATCAAATCAATGAACCAGGCCAAGTGAAGACAGCTTGTACCCGGCCCAAGCCAGTACAGTCCATTGTCTAGGCCCAGTTTGACTGGCTCATCAGTCATCACCAAGGCACCAAATTCACCCAGTTTCCATTTCAACTCTCAGGGCATTCTACGCTGACTCTCAGCTTCAGATCTGCACATTTACGGAGGGAGGTGAGCCTTTTTTGTTTCACATACAGAAGTAAGATCTAATTCAAGTTTTCAGGAGCAATAAGTGATAAAACTGGATTTTGTGCGGAGGGTTTAAAAAAAAACTTTAGTTTCTTTTTCTTAACTTTTCAAATCTGTTGGAAAGACCAATCAGGCATTTGTGAATGGTGTTCGTGTTTAATTTCTTGTCTTCAATGCTTCTCAGCTGTCTTTGTTTGTTTGCTTGTTCATTCATTGCTCCATACGTATCCCTAAAAAAGAACACTTTCAAAGATGTCTTTTTTAAACTTCTGTTAGTGATTTCTGTGAATCTGCTGAGAAGCCCACTCAGGCTCAGATCCTGATATGATTTGTGCATAAGCATCATATCTGTGTGGAGTGTCTGTGAGTAGTTTCCAATTTCATATATTAATTTCAATAAATTTTCTTAATTAATTTTTGATGCAGTGGTGTTTTGGTTTACGCTGTTCTTTCTATTAAAAAAATCTTTTGATTCACAGAAGATGAGTAGCTCAGACGAAGAATCAGACTTAAGTGAGTCAGAGATCAATGATTACAAGGAGAAACCCTATGAGGAGTTGAGGTCTGGTAAATTCAAAGTGAAGGGTCCAAATGGAGGCCTTAGATGTCCGTTCTGCGCGGGAAAGAAGAAACAAGATTACAAGTACAAGGACCTTCTTCAGCATGCTACAGGGGTAGGGAAAGGTTCCGCAAACAGAAGGCTAATACAGAAAGCCAACCACTTGGCATTGGCACAGTATTTGGAGACAGATCTAGCAGATGAGGCTGAGCCACAACCAGAACGGGCTATTCCCCCGGTAAATGTCGCTTCTGAACAGAACAACCTTTATTGCTGGCCTTGGATAGGCATTGTTGTGAATGTATTGGAAAAGGCAACAGGGACAGCAGTACAGGAGGAAGCTTTTTGGTTGAAAAAGTTTTCCAAGTATGGGGCTCAGGAAGTGAAGATATTCTGTGACGATAAGTCAAACACTTCCCAAGTTGCTATCAAATTTAAAAGCGATTGGACTGGCTATAAAAATGTGTTGGAGTTTGAGAAGGCATTTGTGGCCGAAGGCTGCAGTAAGAGTGATTGGAATGCCCAAAGGTTCTCTCCGGGCTCTAGTCCTTATGGTTGGTTTGCAAGGGAGGATGATTACCGTTCAGAAGGGGCAATTGGGTACTTTCTCCGTGAGACAGTACAATTGAAATCCATCACTGATCTTGAACAAGAAGAAAAGATGGACAAGAGCAAAATTGTGTCCAATCTAGCTACTGAGATCGACATGAAGAATAAGAACCTGGATGAGTTACAGACAAAGTTCAATGAGAAGACACTGTCCCTTAGTCGAATGCTCGAGGAGAAGGACATACTTCACCGTGCTTTCTGTGAAGGTTCTATCTTTCTGCATTTGTTTTTCCCATGCATGTGTTCTCTCAACTATATTCTTAATCTTAGTTGTGTTGTGGGCAGTGAAATATCTGGCCCAACATACTTTGCATACTTTTCTGTCATATGTAATATTATCACTTTGTTGGTTTTCTGGGATAATGGCGCCATTGCAAATTTGCAGAATCTAGGAAGATGCAGCGTCTTGCACGGGAGCATGTCCAAAGGGTCTTACATGAACAGGAAAGTCTGAATTCAGAATTGGAGAGCAAGAAGAAGCAACTAGATTCTTGGAACAGAGAGCTGAATAAGCGTGAGGTTTTGACCGAGCGAGAGAAGCAAAAACTTGAAGAGGAGAAGAAAAAGGTTGTGATTAATACTACCTTGGTTTGCTGTAGCATTCATGGATATTGGTTTGTGTGCGAACCTATTGAGAATGTTGACAGTGCCTACTGTTTGCTTGATAATAATTTTTTCTTGAATTCAAGCATAATAATAATAATAATAATAGTAATAATAATTACGAGTATTATTATTATTATGATATAAACAAAATGCAATAGACTTGTACAACTTTATATTCATCCTAAGCTCTTCGACTTTATTAATTATTCATTATAGAATATATCTATTTTCGATAATTTCACAGGCATGAGAAAAATGCATGACTAAAGCTGTTTTTGAACTACAGAATGATGCAAGAAACTGTTCGCTTGAAATGGCTTCCGAGGAGCAGAAAAAAGCTGATGAAAATGTCTTAAGGCTAGTCGAAGAGCATAAGGTGCGTCACATTGAATTCTCTGCCTCCAGTTCCCTCTACTAACAACAAGCACTTGAAAGTGGACCATATGGATTATTATATGAAAAAGATATTCCGGAGTAGGATGCAGTGTTTTTTGTTTATTATATACTGATGTGCATAGTTTGCTGGGAATACATATACAAATTTCTTTGCTGTCTTTTGAATCTGCAGAGGGAGAAGGATGAGGCCTTGCAAAAGATATTAAAGCTTGAAAAGGACATTGATGCGAAACAGAAACTTGAAATGGAAATTGAAGATCTGAATGGAAAACTGGAGGTGATGAAGCACATGGGAGGCGAGAACGATGATGCCGTTAAGGAAAAAATAAAGGAGATGATTGAGCAGCTCAATTCGAAAAAGGAAGAAATGCAAGATCTTGACGAAATGAACAGTGCTCTCCTTAAGAGGGAACGCGAGAGCAACGATGAGTTGCAGGAAGCCCGTAAAGCGCTGATTCAGGGCTTGAGTGATATGCTGAACACTGGGCGTTCCCACATTGGGATCAAACGGATGGGAGAGATCGATTCAAGAATCTTCCAGAACACCTGCAAGCAAAGATTCTCTAGCGATGAGGCTGACGTGAAGGCCCTAGAGCTGTGCTCTCTCTGGCAGGAAAAAGTGAAGGACTCCAATTGGCATCCTTTCAAGATGATCCGGATCGATGAAAACAACTATGAGGTATTTTTGCACTCTTACTACATTCGTGTTTGTTTGCCCTGCCACTCTATCTCTCAACCCTTTTGAATCAAACACACATGTATTTGAATGCAGGAGAGGTTAAACGAGGAAGATGAAGAACTATGCAAACTGAAGGAAGAATGGGGTGACGAAATCTTTGGCTCGGTTACCAGTGCTTTGGAAGAGGTGAACGAATACAATCCCAGCGGAAGATACGTGGTCCCCGAGCTATGGAACTTCAAAGAAGGAAGGAAGGCTACATTGAAGGAAGTTGAAAGCTTCATCTTCAAGCAGCTGAAGACGCATAAGCGCAAGAGGCCCTGAATTTATCTCTGTTTAATTTCGTCAAGTCTCTCGGCATATGTCGAGAGAGGGAGGCTTCTTCATTGGGGCGTCTCTCGGCATATGTCTAGAGAGTAGAGAGGGAGGCTTCTTCACGGGGGCACGGTTTCATTAACTCTTTATTGGTAGTACTCCGTATTATTATTATTGTTATTATTATTATTTATTAGTAGCTGTAAGCCAAATATGAATTTGAGAGAGTCAATAAAGAAAAACACTGAGGATAATTTAAATCTTGATTTTATATAGAGATCAGCATGAAATGCCCCCAGCCTCAATTTGGGAAAATATCTCCTGGATTTTCCCAGGAGATAACTAAATCGTGTCAATTTACAACACAGCAAGTGACGTGGGGGAAAATCTAATGAGGAATGCTAGACGGTTAGAGTACACCAAAAGTGTATTCCAAATGTACACCACTCATTTTTTTACTACTTATTTTTACTTATTTATTTCTTGTTTAAATTATTTGTCAATATATGTGGCATTGGAGGGGGTGGTGTATATTTGGGGTACACTTTTGGTGTATCCCTAACATTTTTCAAATCTAATACTAATGAATCATTTTGGTTTTGTTTACAAAAGAAGTTAACGATTAGCTTATGAATGGGAGTGAATTAGTCTAGAGTCCTAATGATAGTGGAATGATACTTGGATGTGACGTAACTTTGTGTAACGATGATATTCCCTCTGTCACCAATTTGATTACAATATTCTCTCTCATTTTTGTCCCAAAAAGAATTACAAAGTGTTTATTTTTACACTAAATGAACTGTTTTACCCTTCCCTTTTGTGTCAGCCACGTTCTCCTTATCCATCCATTATCTTAGATCTAATCTAGATCTCTGCTCACCTCTTCGTCTCCTCACCTTTTCCTCTCCTCCACACTTCATCTTCTCCAATTTCAATTTCACTGTGTCTAAAATCTCTACCTTTACGATTACAATGTTTCCTCCATGAAAACGCGATCCATCTATGCCCAGTTTTGATTTCTTGTCTCAAGAATCGCAATTTAGATCTATATCTAGATCGCTTCCTGTCTCGGAATCAAACCTTGAGGTGCGTGTTTAATCATCATGCTACACTTCTGAGACTGATCCTACTTGGAGGTTTAGAAAGAAGTACAACTCTGTGGTTGTAGAAGACTCAATTGATGGTTTTATGAGCAAAGAAGGTGAAGGGGATGCACTGATTATTTTTTCATGGCAAACATAGTCCCTATTTTAGATTACAATAAATGTTTCTAAAATAAATGATGGCAAACATAGTCCCGATTTTAGATTATAATATTCCCTTGACTTGATAAGAAACATGTTATATTACTACATTGAGTTACATATTCACATACTATCAAGACCCAAAAAACCCAAAAAGCAAAAAAAATCATGTTGGATAGTACTCCCCAAAACCAAAAAAAAATCATGTTGGATAGTACTCCCCAAAGTACTTGCCTCATAGCATTTGCATTTTCCAAAACCCAAAAAAAACAATTAGCAGTTTATACACATGTTTGGGTAGCTAAGAAATCTTGTGCTGTATGAACATCATCCATGCTAACCTCAATTTCTATAGTAACTGATCCATTCTTTCCAATTTGTCTTTCCCAATGTGAGGAAGCTTATACTGGTTGCCCCCTTTCTGTTTTATAACCTCTTGCATAACACATTGGTAGCTGAAGGAGACTTTATTCGGTTTTCTGGGTCATTTCAACAAATGCATTTTCCACATCACGAATTAGATCTGTGACATTCTTTGGAGCTTTCTGATCTTTGATTGTGTCAATAGCTCTAAAGAATCCCAAGTCCAAGACATTTAAGTCTGGACTATTAGGTGGCAGGAATTGAAGTTTAATATCCCAACCATCCTGTTGACAAAGTTTAACAATGTCTATGTCACTAGGGTCTACATGTGATTTGACATTATCTTGTTGTATGATAATGTGCCTATTATGAGGATCAGGCCACTTAGACTTTATAGCTGGTATGACTTTGTTAAGATTCATGGCCTTCATAACAGTCATGTTAACAATTTTCACTCGCTTTGTTTCAGTGTTCTTGCAGGCCTATTCTTGTCGTTCATTTTTTGCAGCAGCTTCCTGATATGCAAAGGAAAATATTCCAACCTTACCATCCCACACTATTTCCCCATGACCTTGGCCTCTCAATTGCTGCTAGAAACATAATTTTTGGAATGAACTTTTTGGACTGGGTGGTTCTTTATGAGTCTTCCTCAGTTAGGAGGGTGTAAAATGTGGTTGTTTCTTGGGTTAGCTCAAACCATTACTCATCAATGTGTATATGGTCATAAAAGTGATGAAAAGTAGGGTTCATGGGAACGGTATGAGACATTAAGTTACCTAAACAAAAGCGTAACCTTTTTATCTTACCTATGTCAGTCAGCAGTGGCTTTATGGCATTCAAATGTCTCTTTATCTGCTTCCTTTTCAAGAGTCTATGTATAGTACTCTTTGACACATTTAATTGAGAGGCCACTGCCCTCATATTTTTTCTTTTACATAAAGGAACATCTCTAAGTTTCTGTAAATCTAAATCTAGTTTGTTTCTACCAATGCACCCTTTCATCTGTGTGTCAACATCAACGGGTAGTCTTTCTTGCATTTGTTCTCTAGCTCTTGCCCGCAGTAGGTAAATGGTCTTATAACATGTCTTGTACTCTTGTACAAGTGCTGGAATTACCCCCCTCTGAAGTTTGTTGTTCATAGAAGTAGAAAGTTACACATCAACAATGCGCTTTCTTACCTCGTTCGACAACCTTGGCTTGGTATTGGTATTCATTTGCCGCTGGTTTTCTTCTTCTTTTGCAGGTGGTGAGTTGTGCCCTGTGTGCAGAGAGGCTGGAGCAAGGAGAGCAGCTTCATTTGCAGCTGCTTGCCGTTCAGCACCAGGATCAGGATTGGCGGGAGCAAGACATCCATTGAAGAAGACTAAAGGGCCAGTAGCAGGATAAATTGCAGCAAGAGTTTCAGTCTCAAAACCCCCTACTTCTGAGGATAATTGATTAAGATCAATGGAAGAAAAGGATGCATTGAAGAGAGGATTGAAATTGCAGAGATGTGCTATTAATGGAAGGAGTAAATGTTGTTATTTATATAGCAAGGAGTTAAAAGCTAGGAAATGAAATTTTAGGAGGGAAATGAAATTTTTGAATTTTAATTTTCATTATTTCCCTCTAAATGTAATGTTAAATAATGTAGTGTGCTCCATTTTGAGTAGAGGTGGCAATCGGATCAACCGGATCGGTTTCGGGTTGGATTTTTTCGGTTCAGATATCTTTCGGTTATATGTTATAATCGATTCAGTTCAGATCGGTTAAATTTTGGTTCGGATTTGATTCGGTTCGATACATTTTTCGGTTCGGTTCGGTTTCGAATCGGTTCAGATACGGTTCAATTATAAATCGGTTCGGATACAATTTGAGTCGGATATATTTCGGTTTTGGGTCTAGTTCGGTTCGGATATATTTCGGTTTCAGATCAAATATATTTTGGATATATATTATTTTTCTAATTGAAATTTAACTATCCATATTTCTTTTTATATTTTATCACATTTATATATCATCAATTCAATACCTCATATTATTTTATATATTTTTCTAATTATATTATCTCTAACCTAAATAATCTCCCCTTTTTGACTTTTTAGTCATATTTTACAAATTTGGACTATAAATTGTGAAAACATATATATTTAATTATGATATAAATTTAATATAATTAAATTGATTTTAAAATTTAGTTTTGAAATATCAAACTTTTCTCACAACTACTAATATACTTATGTTTATAAATGAAAAGATAAGAGATAAATTTAAATAGTGTTATGTTCCATTTGAATTGGTTTGAAACTAATCAAATTAACTCTCAAATCAATAAATTTTATTATAATAGGATGAAATCAGGATAAAATCTAGTTATTCCATACAATTCATTATATAATTTTTTCGTCTCAAAAGGAATATCACACTTCACTATTTAAAAATTATGGAAATTTTATTTGTTTGTGCGTTATCATTTATATGTATAACTTATCTTTAATTTCTACATATAATAAATTTAAGGCATGAAATTTTGTACTTTTTTTCAAAAAGATAATCCATTTTATGAGGAAATGAGCAAGTAATGTAATTAGTTCAAATGGTAAAATAAAAGAAAAAATTTAAAAATATAATATGCTTATTGAAAGGAAAACATAGTTCCAAATTTATCACTGTAGGTTCTAACCGATTTCGGATATAATCAGTTCCGGATCTAATCGGTTTCGGGTTTTATCGGTTTCGGGTATAATCGGTTTCGGATCTAATCGGTTTCGGGTTTAATCGGTTCAGATATTATTGGTTTCGGATCTAATCGGTTTTGGATTTAAATCGGATATGAATTATTTAGTTCGGTTTCGGTTCGATTCAGATCACTTCGGGTTTTCGGTTATAGATCGGATCTTAATTTTTCGAGTCATTTCAGTTTCAGTTTCAGATATTTCGATTTGGGTAATCGGTTCAGGTTCTGTTTTGCTAATTTTGAGTACTTGGATTAAGTAATGATCATTATTTTATCATTTCAATGTCAAAATCTCATCGACTTTTCCAATCCTAAACTATTTACCCCACCTCCCTATTGAAAGGCGGTATTTGAGAAAAAAATTTAATTTGTCTCTTTCTTAATTTTGTCAAAAAAAGAATATTGTAATCTAAAAGGAGAGTATTATACATTTGGCATTTTCCTTGGTTGTTGCAGAGCTCAAAATCAAAACCTTGAGCACAAAATTCATCCTAATTTTCTGATTTTCAAATTGTGATTTTTAATTAAAAAAGAATTAAATAATACGTCTAACTAACGACTAGACCCAAACTGGAACTGGCTTGGGTTTGGCAGCCGCAGCAGACAAAAAAAAGCAACTAGAAACTAATGCTCAAAAGAGATTTCCAAGATAAATAAATAACATTACAACACACTTTTACTCTAAGTGTACAAGATAAAAAAAGACATCTTTTTTCAAGCACACACGTACTTCACAATCACCTAACACTGTCTTTCTTTATTTTTATTATTTTTTTAAAATTGTTTTCAGCAATGGTTATTCTCAACTCCTAGGCCATACAACACACCTGCATACTTCTCCATAGAGCCACTAAAGAAGTTTTCTTTCAACTTCCTGAAGGTACAAGCCGTGAGCAAGCTATCCGAACCAGCCTGGTGGCAGATCCCGACTCTCTCAACTTCCAGCAGCTCCGCGAGTTTGTTCAACCCACCATGGAGGCTATTGCAGAACTTCATCAGATGCTTGATGTCATACACCACAGGGAAATACATGTTGATCAATGCAAAGAACCCCGACTGCGTCTCCGGCAATGGCTGACATGTCAGTATCTTGAGAAGGTACCCGAAATCGTACCCGCTGTGGAATGTGACCCAGTAAACACTGTCATTCAGCACAATCCCAGAGGACATGAGAAGCTCCCCAAACCTCCTTGCGTCGATACCCTTCTCTGTGTTCTTCTGGAAATCAATCCCACTCTGGCGAAGCAACTCGATCGAATCACTGGCAAAAACGTCCTCGTTCGGGTTGAACTCCCTGAAGTTGAATTGCCAGATGCAGTAACGGTCGTCCGTTCCGGAGGTGGGGAGGTTACCTTTCTCATCAGAGAATGTGAGGCCCAGCTGTATCAACTTCAACATGTCCACATTGTCCTTGAGAGTCTGGTAATGGTAATCGTTGCTGTTCTTGAAATTGCCAACGGGCCGAATAACAATCCCTGGAAACTCGGTATCCATGGCGATATACGGATAATCATCAACGATTCCACGGATTAGGGCAAACTCTTCGTCCAGATTATAATCCCAAACTTCTCGGATCTGCACGGAATCACTTTTGGGCAAAAGCGACATCTTTTGATAGCCCCAAAATTTCTCGCGATAGATAAATCCCTATGAAAAATAATCCGACTAAATCTCTCCGGACATGGAGAAATCAAAGAAACGATTCAATTTCAAATCAGATCTGCGACAAAAATATGAATCGTACGATAAATCTCAGCGTTCGAAAACCCAAAACCTCCCATTAAACAAACTTCCGAGTCAGATTTCGCACCAGAAAACCCTAAATCGCAAACAACAACAAGTATCCGATGAAAAAAGGGAGGATAAATCAAGAATTGAACGAAGAAATGAGTGATCTTACCGTATATTCATAAAGATCTGAACTTTGGACCGTAGATCGATGGAGCGTTCCAGAAAACGGGCTTTGGAACGGGGAACCAACGAGTCGTCAACGAAAAAGGAGATGAAGATAAAGAAAAAGAAATGTGGGCATAATTTAAAGGGTCTTTGTTTGTTTATTTACTTTATTTTCAAATGAATTATTAGTCTTTTTTCTCCCAAAGAGACAAACAAGATAGGGCCCCCTTCACTGTTTACCTCCCTTCAAAATACTGTTAAGAGAAAATGGTGTTTCTTTCTTTCTTTCTTTTTTTTTTAGAGAATTTACTGGTTTTTTAGGGTTTCATGCAAATGATTAAAGAGTTTTGAATAAAAATAAAAGGATGAGCCGAGGAGGGGAAAGCGAGTTGAATAAAAACCAAGCTCTTCCCCCGTGAGAAAAGAAAGAGAAAAAAATGGGAGATATATAGGAGAGGGGACAAAGAGTTGAAGCAGAGCAAAACTAGTGGTTTGATGGAATAATAGCCAATGGATTGAGGTGGCATTCATTCTTTTATAATTTATTGATTGATTTGTTTGAGTCTTTGAAGTTTATTTTTATAGAACTTTATTTTCAGAAGGAAGAGTGGTTGTCTTTATTGTGCAAATTACAAATTAACAAAAAAGGTTTTTGTAAAAATATTTCTCAAGTTTTTGAATTATTTTAAGAATTTAAGTGCTTACAAGGTTTTTTTTTTAAATGCTTCATAGGCTCCTAAATTATTTTTAATGTTTATTCGCTCCCTTTACCTTTTAACTGGTGCGCTAGTGGTCCCTTCGGTGGTTTTTTCAGACAAAATCTTCTGAAATTGATATGTGTGTGTGTGTGTATATATATATATATGTATGTATGTATATGTATATATATGTATGTATGTATGTGTGTGTGTGTATATATATATATATATATATATATATATATATAGATATATACACACACATATAGATATATACATCTATATATACATATACATATACATATACATATACATACATGCATATATATATATATATATATATATATATTATATTTATGTATATGTATATATATATATATATATGTTATATATCTATATATGTATATATATAAATGTATGTATGTATATATATAGATATACATATATATATATATATATATATATATATATATATATATATATATATATATATATATATATATATATATATATATATATATATATATACACGCAATATGAATTATTAAAATAGCTTGATTTTCTTAAATACCATTTAAATTTTATATTTAAATGATCTAGGTTTACTGAATTCCTACAAACATATAATTGTTCTCACCGCTTAATATAAATGATATACTACAAAACCATTAGTGATTCCATTATTCTTCTCCCCCGCACTTATTTTAAAACCTTGGGTTTAAGATCTTATTATTTTATAATTAAAAAAATCATGATTCTTCTCCTCCACATTAATTTACGTTAATGAAAG